TAGACACGTGTTTTTGTTCCGTCATGGCATCAAAGAGCTTGAACTGTGAGGGCAAGCGCCTAGTGGAGAATTTGTCGTCAGCACGAGCTGGTAGCGACCACCGATTGATAACACCTGCTGCTATCACTGATCAGCTGACCTTCGACTCGGTCATACGGCAGCTGGCCTATTTCGTCAACAACACAGAGTTCGATTGAAATTACCTCTGCTAGACACTGTCTCACACATGAACGATGGGTTGTACCGTAGTTGAATTGTTTTGCACCTGCGTTTCAACTGTAGGGACACAGGCCCGGAGAATGAAAAGATCTTTGACCAGGTCTTACCAGGGTGAAGAACGTGGCTGAAAACTCACAAACTAAAATCTTATTCAATAATGAGTTTGTCGCGAGCGTGCGCTCGATTGCAAGCCCTCTGGTGTTTACAGACTGCCGCGTAAGCGACGTCGCGTGGTCCTAAAGACCGTCTCCCGGAACATCCCAGCGCTGCATTGAAAACAACTGTAGACCAAATTCTCCTGGGGGTTCCTTAATCAGACAAGATGAAACTGAGTTTTCGAACGATGAGTTCAAAGCAATTATTGTATTTCAGAAGGGTTCCTGCCTGATCAAACAGTATCTGATTGAACCACATAGCCACATAGCGGATAAAATAATTTGTAAACAACACGATTACAGTGTTTAGTTGTAATTTGGCAAAGGTGATGGGAAGGCAAGTGGCGCCGCTCATGATATGCGGGTCATTTCTCGGAACTAGTCCACCTTGGTGCTCTTCACAGAACCGTCACACTCCTTGCACGAATAACTCTAAACGTTAAGCAGAAGATAAAAGGAGCAAGGCGATCATTAGTTCCCAGCTGAGCTTTAGCCAGCAGCTTATAGCAAAAAATACTTCCACAACTGGATACCACCTGGGGCGTTCAGCTTTTTCGCTTCTCGCAGCGGTCACTTATAGCCGATATCCGCTTGAAAACCAGCTGTTACGGTGGACTTTCGCGCTTTGTCGCCATCAAAACCTCTTGAAGCAATCTGCTTCACCCATCCATGTTCGCCTGGTACTTTTTGTTTGCGGTCGTTGGCCTATCAACAGCTTCAGTCAGATCTAAACGTCAAGCGGCTTTAGCTGTAAATCAGCTGGATATCCCCATTACTCTAAGGTACGTCTAGCAATGATTAGTTTACAGAGGCATTTTCTTGTGCCCTTCTGGGATTGTCAAGGAAAAGAAGAGCAATAGGTTGATGGCTTAAATTCCCGATGCGCTCATGGAAAAGCGAGCTCATGGTCAGCCTCGTTGGTCAACGTGTGTTCTCCTGGAAAATGCAACAAACCGTTACAAAAATGAGACTTATAACCTGAAAGAGCCCTCGTAACGCGCCAGCACGGCTCCACCGGGTTGTACAAGTCGCTCCAGATATGCAATACAATGAAATCATTAAATCGCACTTCCATAGTCCTTTATGCTTCTATGACTTCGAATATAACCATGTAAAACAGTTACTACTCCAGCATACACAAAAAATAGGGATTTTCAAAGGGAGACACGTATGGGAAAGGCAAGATTGTCGGCGTTGATCTTTTTATTTTTTTACGAATAATAAGTAGTGCATTCGGAAAGGATTGACCCATTTTTTCACTAATTCTTGCACCGTAGTTCAAAGGTTTCAGGTCGCTCATAACGTGCCTGACACCCATCCGTGACTACTTGTGCCTTGGACCTAGGGTAGAGGTGCTGAAGAGTGAGAAAATCGGACTGACAGAACGCAGAGGAGCCGCATATGGCTACCTCGATGGAGTAGACATAGGGTGAGTTTCAGAGTCTTACGGTTCTCATGAAATTGAAAATTTTTTGAGATCGTCCGAAATTTCCGAGTCATGAAGAAAGAAGCGCGTTTTTTCGCAGGTTTTCATCGTTTCACCACGTTTTTTCGCGCAATTCACCGCTATTTAGCATCCTGCTAGTATTTTAGACAGAGTACCAAATTATAGTGCCATATGCCTTTAAGTCTTGCCATAAAATTCCGTGCTACTGAGGATTTTTGTTATTAATTAGTTATAGTTACAAATTTCAGGCTTCTGAGACCGCTGAATGTGCCGATGATCGAAGATGAAACAGAAGTGGGCCATCATATTGGTGCTGTCGTCGATGTGACGGATCCAAGACGGTGTAACTGAATTTGGTGATCGTCTCAAAGTATTCAAAGCATTCCGTCTGAATAAGTTCGTATGATATTCACCATTAGTCTTATTAGAATTTGAAAAATTAAGCTGCATTCTGAACATCTGAATTGTTGCAGTGGAGGAATCGTTGAATGGGATCGCCAGGGAGCTGGCGTTGACGTCGGCTCTAGAGCATCAGCAGCTGATGACGCTGTGAAGCTCAGATGGACACTGTTTGGTGTGAACGTTGGACCAACAGCCAGTCGAACTAATTGTCGGTCCTGGTCCGTCCACTCTGGGACGGGCCAAAGGTGCAGGTATGCTTAGGGTATCTCAAACAGCCGGCTGGACTATGTAATATGATACGAAATCAGGTTAAAAGAAGAAGTTCACCGCTCAAAGCAACCTTGGACGAATAGTACAGTGAATTCTTTCATTTTCAGCCCTGAAAACATACACACCGTTCCCATATTTCTATCGCGGCTACTACAATCGAGGTGACTGGTACCGCAATCAGTTCTACAACCAAGGTACGGGTTTTGCCAAGAAAGGTCCTTCAACTCATTTCCCCTGAAGGCTTTTCTCTAGTTTCCGCTTTATTGTGTTTGAAAACTGAACTCAAAGGAAAGTCTTGTTCTCCCTCTAGGGATTCCTGCTGAATTATTCTGAACATTTATTCAGGAAACGAGTACAAGACTCCTGCTCAGCGAGCTTGCCCATGGTGTTTTGCGGTCGACAGCAGCTATCCGGTACAACGACTATTCCCGTAGAAACTTACTCGAGGACGAAGCTGGTGTTGGTCCCACATAGAATCTGATCTCTAAATGCTTAACATATCTATTTGTGCAATTAAATATTAGGTTGGTCCACCATTTCCGCGACGCTTCACATTTATTGATATGAAATTGTCAAAAAAAGTTAAATTTCCCAAACAGTTATGTTCTATGTGTTCGAAGTCTGCGAACTCATTTCTACGTCTCCAGCTCATTTTCTTTGCTCACAAATGCTTTTAGATGAAACTTGTTGTTTTATGAGCGTTAGGCTGCGATACTTTGGGGCAGTGTCCGCCAGCT